CACACACACATGCAGCCACACGCGCACAGCGGCCTCGGACCGGACGGACGGACGCAAGCACCGAGGAGAACCGGGAGCATGACCGCGGGAACGACGAGCTGCCCGGTACCTTAACGACCGAGGAGCCGGGGACCGAGGCGGCTGTTACCGGAGGAGCAACACAGGTCAACGAACATAACATCACATCCATCCACCTCGTTCTATCTATGCATCCATCCCTCCATCCATCCCTCCATCCGTCTATCCATCCCTCCATCCACCTCTATCTATTTATGCATCCATCCATCCACCTCTATCTATCTATCTATTCATCCATCTCTATCCATCTCTATCTCTTTCTATCTATCTATAATAGATTATTATTTATAATAAATCCACAGTATTTTGCACTATATATTTTCAATACAGTTATTTTAGGTACATTCTGTGGTTCAGTGGTGTTTACACTGTAATCAATGTCTTAATTGATGAATTAGTTATTTCATTATTCATTAATATTAATTAGTTGATGTGTTGCCAGGTTGTGGAAAATATTCAGTTAATAACTGAGACGTCTCTGATCAACATTCATATGTAAACAGATTATTAATATTTTAGGGCCAGAGTTGGATCTGAGGACGCTGTTGATATGATGATATCATATATTTACAGGATTATCAGTGTTCAACCATTTACTAATCATAGAGTTCAGCCTGCAGCCGTGGCTTATCTTCGGTTTATGTTGATTATTTTCTCTGGTCATTACGATTCAGCATCAGGACGATAGTGATTCACTAAATAAATTGATGGGAAATCCACCAAATTAAAAAAAAAAAGTACTTTCTGAGATCAAATTGGGAAATTTACAAGAAAAAAATCTCAAATTTATGAGAGAAAAAAAGAAATTTGCTCTGAGATCAAATTCACACACCACAGCAAATCTATGACGTAACGTCCTCAGAGAAAATTCAAGTTATTTTCTTCAGAGTTCTTTTCTCCAGAAATCCAACAAAAGCTTTTTTCTATCAAATATGATCTTGAAAATTCTAGTTTTTCATTTCACCTACAATGACCCACTTCACCAAATTGAATCAATTAATGATTTATTCTTAAAAAAGAAAAACTCTGACAAGTTCCCAGAGTGAAATGTTTTGTGTTTGTCCCACTGATACACAGGCTCAACCAATCAGGAGTCAGTCTCAGCTGTCAATCATGACGTCTCAGTCTGTTTTAATATCATCAGATAACTCATTAAAACCAAACTGATCAGAAACATGGCGTATATTTATGACATATACTGCAGCCAGCCACCAGGGGGTAGTCCAAACGTTTTGGCTTCACTTTTAGAAGTGGTAATTTACTTTGTATGTAATCGCACGACGGGGAAAGTTTGCTACAGGCGTTCGTCCGAAGTACTCACTGTGGCCTGTGAACATAAAGCTGACAGTGTTGTTTGTACACAGGTAATGCAGTTTTTTATCTCTACATATATATATATATATAAATACATATTGTATATATCTGCGTCCACAGAGGCGATGAGGTTAAACCTGGAGGCAGCAGCCCGTTTCTAAGCAACACCAACAGCAACACAGCGAGCGGCGCCTCACACCATGGGCTACAAGGTAACATCACCACTGAGCTCCAGCTGCAGACATCAGTCCACTCCACACGTGTCCAGTGGAGTGGACGTGTGTGTGTGTGTGTGTGTGTGTGTGTGTGTGTGAGACTCACAGCTTCAGCGGTAGTAACGGTTGTGTGACGCCCACTGGAGTGTGTCTCTCACAGATTTATGTACAAACGTTGGACCTGGTTTCTGATCCGAGGATTATTCACATCATCAGTATCAGTGCAGAGTAACACTTCATAAATCAGAGCGGGATCGATCTGTGATCTCACTGCATGAGTCAGGACGAGATGAAATATTCACTGAGGCTCCTCCACGTTCAAACAGCTACAGAGGAATAACAACAGACTAAGTTAATGACGTCACTGATTTCATGTAAAACAGACTGACATGGGAGATAGTTCAGTTGTTCAACATTTAATTTACATTAATCATATTATGTTATATCATATTATATTATTTTATAGAGGGTAAAATGACCTTTCATGTGTTTCCTGTTCTGCTGCTACAGGATGTGACCTGTGTCTGTTTCTCTGTAGCATGTTGTTTTCCATCTAACCTCTGTTTCAACCACAAACAGACACTGCAGCCGACCAACAACATGGTTTGATTGAGAGATTCACTGCTGCTGACACACACTGTACACAACATGCAACTCATGTGTGCATGTGCGTCAGTGTGCACGGCAGATTAACACACACACACACACCATACATACACACACACGCCTACCTTTTAATCTTGAGTAGTTCATAGCTCCATAAATCCAAATATAACACACACACCTCTGGCTGCCTGCCTGTGTGTGTGTGTGTGTGTGAGTGTGTGTGTGTGTGTGTGTGTGTGTGTGTGTGTGTGTGTGTGTGTGTGTGTGTGTGTGTGTGTGTGTGTGTG